AAAACAGAAAGCAGGGATTTTAAAAAAAAAATAATAATAGTTTTTTATTATTGTTATTATTTTTAGAGTTTTAAGGGCAGGGGTTTTTGGTAATAGATAAAAGAAGAAACGACAAGAATATAAAAGACCAATAGGATTTCAGCGYTCCAAAAGCTGAGATGTGTTAGACGCTGATTAGTGGCTAGCTGGATTTGACGTGGCAGAATCCTATTGTTTAGCTTCCTGTGTACTCCCTGTACCCAATTATTGCTCTTGGTAGTTCTGCCGTTAAGTTAAAAGACGAATTTAGAAATTTTCCTTTTTCCGTATTTATTTATTTATTTATTTTCCTTCATTCTCTCATATTTAATGCCATTGCTTTGCTTTCATTTAGTATATTTTTTAGGTTTAAAAATAATTTGGGTACATGTATTTTTATTTAACTAATCATTAAACTTTAGATTTGTAACAGTTAAGTTTTGTATGTTTAAATTGATGGCAATAGGATTTTTTATATGTGTAAGTTATAAAGAATAAAATGTTATGTAATAAAAAAAATTATACTTAAATTTGATTATATTTTTCATGGTGTGGACTCAGACTAAATTGTTACAACTTTAAACAAGGTACTAAATTATTATATATGTTAAAGTTCAAGGTCTAAATTATTATCCATTTGAAAATAGGGGATTAAATCATTACAAACTAAAATCCACTGTCTAAATCGTTATTTTAGAGAAGTATGTGAACCATAAATATTTTTGTAACCTATTTTCTAAAAAATATGAATGAATTTCATTGAAATGTAAAGTAAACTTCAAATAAGTGTTGCAAATTTTATAACTTTCATTTGAAAGAATGGTTAAAAATGTGGTGGGAAATGATGAGATTTAGAGAAGACAATTAAAATTAGATTATCAAAATCTAATTGGTTAAATTAGATTTTTATGTCTGATTTTTTTTATTATTAAAATGAGTGGACGATTGTGATTCAAACCTAATTAAAATTAAAAACAATAAAATCTTAACTATTATTCATAGGAAAAATTTTGGCTCTTAACTAAGCATTGTGCTCACCAGGATCTAAGATATATATCAATTATCAAACTATATCGGTTTAACAATGCTACGTACATATGTGTTGACTTTTTACTTTTATTTTTTTGTTATTTTATAAAGCTTAATATCTCTTCAATTATCTCTCTATTTCTTAACTCTCATTTTTTCTCTTCCGGCTCACTTCTTCATTTTTCTCTCTTTTGTAAGGTCTCACCTCCCATTTTTGTCTCTCTTTTTTCGGTTTTTAAATTTCTATTTCCTAAAATCAGGAATACCTCTTTTGTTATTAGTTTATTTATTTTTTAATTTATTGTATCTTTTTATCCAAATTTACTGTTTTTTTTTTCAAATTTACTATATCTTTTTTTTTCAAATTTATTGAAGTTTTTTTTATTGTATCTTTTTAATAGTACCATGTATTTATTTTTCAAAAAGAATATTTTTTTCCTTTGTTACAATAATGTTTTTGTTATGCTATTTTCCTCGGCAAACAAAACTCATATATTTTTTTTTCACAATCTCAATGTACAATAGAAAGTTGAACTTTTTTTCCTTTAATTTTTTTTTGTCTTTTCATTTATTTTTTTCTCATCTTTTAAATTAAATTAAATTACATTATCCACTTTCAATAGTTGAACTAAACTGAAAGGGTGAAAATAATTAAACTAGTCATTGTTTATTCTCGAGTATGAGATATCGTTCTCATATTATTGCTCTCGAACTCCCAATTCAATTAAACTGTTCAAAATAGATGGTAGTATTTTGTTTAGAAGATGAGAAAAAATGATAAGAAAAAATAAAAAAAGCAACAAATTTGGTTGTACCTTTAAATTGTGGAGAGATATTTGTGGGAGGTATTTGTGATTATTTCAACTTGGATAAGTGAGACGGTAGGAAGAGAAAAAATAGGAGATATTAATGAGATATCGAGCTTTAATAAATTAGTTAAAAAATGAAAAAAGACAACACTTGTTTATTGTTATTGGGCCACGGGACACGTTGGAGGAGCGAAATTTTTTCCTTATTCGAAGGGTGTATGATAACGAAAAGAAAATATACACATAATGATATGTTAATATTTTTAGTCCAACACTAATATAAAAAGACTAATGTATAGTTTTTCCGGGTTAGGACGTATTATTATAAATTTATCTTAAAAGTATATATTTGATATATGTCAAAAAAAAAAATATCACCGATAAATATGAATACTAAAAATATGATTTATAACTTATTTAAAAATTGTAAACTATAGTTATGTATTATTTGAAATAATCTAATTTTAAAAATATCTATCAATATTAATATTTTCGTAAACATTTCTATAAGATTAAAAATTCGACGGTCTTTATCGGTGATCTTTCCATTATTTAGGTCATTATTTTATTTTTTATTATCTATTCTTAAAAGTTAAGATTTTCCCCCACATTTTTTATAAATATTTTACTCTATTTTTCAAGGGTATTTTCACGATCATAGCAGAAATCTATTTACAATAATCTATTTTTTCCTTTTTAAATTAGATAAAAATTTCAAAAAAAAAATATATTCATTATCAATTTTTCAAATTAGAATGAAAAACCAAATATAGTATAAGTTTCCAAAAGATAAAAAGGACAAAGAGCATAAGAAAGTATGTCTTGTCCTAGCTTATTACAAACCGAGTTGTGTTTACTTTTTTTAATTTTAAACAAATAAAGTTTGTTTTATTATACATAAAAGAAATCCTCTTTTACTTTAACTTAATTATTTTTTGTCACGTTTGAAATGAAAATAACACAAAATTTAATTAGTATCCTATATCTTAGGTTTAGATTATATTTTGGTCTTATGTCAAAAAAAAAAATTGGTTTCTAATATTTAAATATTTTATTATAATCCATAAGCTTTGCATAAAAAGTCGGTTTTAATTATTATCGTTATTTGTCCCTAAATAATTTAGCAAAAAAATTGACATGATTTTGAAAATGAATTTTTTTATTTATTTACAATAACAAGTTAATGGTTGAATGATAGCTCTTAAAAATAGGTTAAAGAAATACTATATATATATTTATTTTTTTTCTCTAAATTTTAATTTATTGAGATTGAAGTGTGAACTTAATAAATGGTGAAAAAAGTACTATCCATTACTCCAGTTTTCGATTTTAAAATAGCTTTTTTATCTACATCTATAATTTTGACGTTGAGTTTTCACACTTTTTATTTGATATGCAAATTCAGATTTTATTTCTTGTTTTTATATAGAATATGTATTTGATAGGCTTGAGAATTTGAAATTTTAAAATAAATTACATAAAAGAAAGAATTTTTCTTTGATAAATATATTATATCAGGTTATAAATTCATTTCATTTTTTTAAAACTAAAAAAGGTAAAATACAATATATTAATGGTTAGATTAATTAATATTATTTTAGATTTAATTAAATATTTAGTTGGTAACTACCACTCGTTTACAAATATACTACTAAAGTACACCTTAAATATTGTTATATTGAGATTGAATTTTCAAATATGTTACCAAACACATATCTAAAAATACTAAAAATTATTCTATTTTCACTGAATCTTTAGATTTCTATTTTCAGATCACAAATCAAATATAATTTTAGTATAATTTTAGTAGTTGGATTTCTTTGACTATATTTAAAGGTATTTTCATGGTTAAATTAATATTTAGGAATTTTCTAATTCATAAATTACTAAACAGTTTTCTAATTCAATTTCGCTAGCCTACGAATGAGAGTAAAAAAAATCAGTTTTCGAACAATGGCCAAAAAAGTGTTCATTTGGGGGCAGAAATGGAAGAAAAAATAATTTAAAAAATTAAAAAAAGAAAAAGAAAGCAACAATGGCCATGGAGTTTGGAGAACTCATTGGATAGGGACGGAAGAGTTTATGCTCTCAATACTAATTATATTTTATAAATTTTACCCTTAGTATTATTGAAGCAGCAAATCTAATTTATTATTATTTTGATGAACATTTAGATAGGAAAAAAAAAAAGAAAAATGCATTTACGTTCTAAATTCGATTAGAAAGATTTTAATCATAAAATATATTCAAATAAATCTTTGAATCCATACTCTTCTCTACTATGATTTTCTTTTATTTGTTTTAATATGTGGATTTAAAAGTCTCAAAATTTTATTATGTTATGAGAAGGAAATAATAAAATGACTTTAAGTTTGATAATGAACCCAAAACAAATATGAAAAAAATGTAAAGATGATAAGTATGAATGAAATTTAAATAGCATTAAAAAAAGAAAAAAGTTTTAAATTTAAGATTGCCTAAAAAAAATCCGTCTAAGACCCTCTGATTGCCTTAAGTTGCCTTGACGGATATAGTAGAAACATTTATTAATACGAGAATTAAGAATCGTGTGATTGTTGTATTGTCATGTAGTTACGTGTCTTAAACATATTAACAAAACAAACAAAATACACATTACAAGAAATAAGAAACAATTACGATGAAACAACTAAAATTAAATGCATTTTATTAATAACAAAGCCACAAGTAAAGGAGAGGAAGATGAGCTTTACTTTTAATTAATTATTGTTGGTACATAA